TTTGTAATTGATCATTTAATGTATTTGTTAGTTGATATGAAATTAAAAATTATAAAATCTCGAAATAGTTGTATTGAAATTGCTACTTGATAAATCAAACTTTTGAATTTTTTAAATGAAAATTTTTTATTTAATTATTGTAAATATAATACTCGTCATATTTTTAATCATTTATAATTCAATTGATTAATATATTAATTTATAATTCGCGTGATCTGGTGTTCGCTTGAAAATTAGTCTAAAACTTAAATAAATTATACGATTTTTCTAAATAGAAACACTTTTTTCTTAATTAAATCAATCGTGAGGATAAATTTCCTTAATATAAAATCATCCAGTCCCAGTCCGGCTGAAAGACCGTTCTTTTAATTGACAGACCGGACTAATTGAACCCTGCAAATTGATACAAAGTCTATTTCTAAGTTTTTCAAAAATAATCGAAGATACAACTATGAGTGAGCTATCTATTTCAGGATCATTTTCACAATACATGAATTTTGTTAAGAAGCCAGGTAATATTGGCTTAAAAGATATTAGAGTATTACAGCATTAAGTTTTATTAATGAGGTAGGTAAGGATGGTAGGATAGATATTCGAGTAACGGAACAACCAAGCGTCATTAAAGAATCAGGTAAATTTGGTAAGCTATCTATTTCAGTATTATAGCACTTAAGTTTTGTTAAAGATGTAGGTAAGATTGGTAGGAAAATTATGTTGGTATTAGAGCACTTAAGTTTCGTTAAAGAGTTAGGTGAGGTTGCTAGAATAGTTATTTAAGTATCAGAGCAATCAAGTATCAATAAGAAGTTGGGTAAAGTTGGTAAGATAGTTAGTTATATTAGTGAGATAACACTTGAATTTTGTCAAAGAGTTGGGTAAAGTTGGTAGCATAGTTATTTGAGTAAAAGAACAATTAAGTGTTATTAAGAAGTTTGTAAATAAGCTATTTATTTCAGTGTTATAACACTTAAGTTTTTTTAAAGTGTTTGGTAAAGTTGACAAGTTCCGTTAAAAAGTTGGATAATGTAGGTAAGCTGAATATTTCAGAGACATTACACGTGAGTTTTGCTAAACTTTGATATCTTGCAATCCGCCTAAGGCATTTAATATATCATCCTTATTAAAATCCGTAATTGTTATACTAAAAAAGAATAATGTCTGGTGCTTCATCATTTTGTGCTTCATCATTCGATTCTAATTCTCTTGCATTCATACGATTAAATTTTGAATCTTTTGAGACAATTCCTCATGAAATAAATTTCTGATATTGGAAGAAGCATTAACGCTACGATACTCAAGTAAATTAGTTGCTCATCTAATTGTAGTTTGGATTCATTATTTTTCAATTGATCATAATCATCTATATTTGTTTTTGCAATAATTGCTTTTAATCCACTTTGTTAATGGACTGACGATTATCTGGCTCATTATCCCAATAATCTAAAATCAATATAAAAAAATTTAAATCATGTAAGTATAAAATTTACATTTTTAATTAAATGTAAGGTAATATTTACCAGTATAAAGTTTTACATACACGTTCTCTAAGTCCTTGTGCAATTTCTATGGCCAAACTAATATCGTACATTTCATCTTTAACATGAAAAGGTGGACTTCCATTTGACTGCTCCCACAAGAGCACGCCAACACTATAAATGTCACTTTTTTCGTTTAGTTTATATTGTTGTGATGTATTGTCATTTTTTCTTTCTCTAATAAACTTTTAGGGTCATTGTAGGGAATAATACCACCAAAAACTTTGGCCTGATAATTTGCTGCTTCAATCCTTTTTGATAACCAAAGTCTGCTAGTTTAATGACGCCTTGATGGATTAATATATTTCCTGAATGCTATCCATATAAAAAAAATATTATTAAATACTGAAAAGAATTGTTCATGATACTTAAAAGGTTACCAAATCACGATGTACAATTCCCTTCGTCATGTAAACATTATACACACAAGCCAATTAGAATGCCAAATTATATTTATCTCACCAAGAAAGCTTATCAAAATTCTCCTTCAAATAATTTCTAAGTGCACCTCCATCAGCATATTCCAAACATTTTGATTTTCTAATTATATATGTATGATTTTTTTTTTTGAAAAGAAAAAAAAAATAAATATAAATAAGTTAAACAAAAGCAAATAAAAAGCGGTAATTAACATCATTATGTAAAAATGTATACCGTGGATTGATGATGATGTGATCCCCAAAAATCTGATGAAATTGTTATGAAAATAAATTTCCCTTTGAAATTCAAACTAAATTATTATTAATAAATTATAGCTTGATAAATTTTATATTGAATAAATCAAAATAGACTGAAACATATTATTTTTGAATTACCTCTCGAACAAGTTCTTTAACAGTGGCATGGTTAAGGTTATGAAATGATTTTAATGCTAGATGTTGCATCGATTTGTAAATATCTTTGATGAATATCCAGTTGAAAATAGTTTATTTTGTCATCATACCAACGTAAAAATATTAACCGGAAAATCATTGAGACGAGATGCATTGTTTTTAGATAATTGTCACCATGAGATTCATTTATGAATCTTTTGAGCCAAAACGTGATTACTCATATTCAAAATAAGACCTTAATGATTTAGTTAAATTATCAGCTATTTTTATTTGGATTTTTTTAATAACTTATTGAAAAACCCTAACAAAGCTAAATTAAAAAAAGAAATGGAAAGAGTTAATTAAAATGATTATTTTTACTTTCCTGGAAGATATTGATAGCTGGACAGAGTATGATGTTGAATTAGACAATGTTGAGACTATATCAAAAAAATCGAAATTGATACAGAATTAAATATAAAGCTATCTGGTAAGTTGGTCTATTTCTTTTCTAGTTTTGATTTTTGAATCTTACGAGTACTATGAAATTTCAATGGAATTATTATAAAATTGCATACTGGTTCAAAGCATTGAATTATTGCCAATTTCTGGTTCAATGATATTGCAAATATAACTGGTTTTAAACGGTTCTGGAGGGTTAAATATTAACTTTTCTAGTATTAAGCTTTAAATTTTGATAAAATTCGGCAAAATTTATTTAATGCTTAAAAAAATTTTTTATCAATTATTGGCCGATTAATGTTAATAACCACGTGAAATTAAACCAATAAACGGATTTTAACCATAATGTACTTTCGTCAACCAGAATTTTTTTATTTTTTACTAGAAAAAAAAGTAATAAACATGTCTTATGTTGAAATCAAAGGTGCACGAATAGGACTTTTTTGTTATATTCAAGGATGAAACAGTAGTAGACCTTTCGACGTAATTATAGGAAAGGATAATTATATTTCTGAATTTAAGAAGGTTATAAAAAATGAGAAACCGAATGACTTGGCAATTATTGTTTCTGATAAACTCACGCTTTAAAAACCTAAATATCCTGTTCCAAGTAATCGAATTAATGATATCAATAACCTTAGAGAATATGAAATAAGTTTATTGGATGAAATGCAAAAGGTTGCATAGTACTGGAATGAAGATGAAAAACCACTTATTCACGTTATAGTAGTAACCCCTGTAACTAGTAAGAGAAAGTCAAGTCATAATGAATTTAATCAAGATAACAAAACAATAACAACAACATTTTATTATTATTACTTTGGCTACTAGCCGCTCATCAAAATATTTTCTTAAAGAAACTTACAAATACATTTGAGAACATGGTATGCATTAATTATATAGTGTTTATTTTCTTAACGCTATATTCACAAGATCCATTTTAGAACATATTAAGTAGTCCTGACAATTCGAACGTGTAACCTCTTTTTCTTTTAGAATTTTGAAAGTTGTAAGGGAAAACTCAGAAATTACGAAAGAAAACTTAGAGGTCGTGAAAAAATTCAGAATCGCTTGATTATAAATTAAATGAGTTTATGAAAAACTTCATTCAAATTGAAAAAGAGAGAAATAGCAGGTTTGTTCTTAACCAGAATCAACATAAGTCAAGTATGAATTTATCAAATGCAAATCTTCCACTTTCTATCAATATAACATTATATACATTACAGGTCTAAAACGTGTGCAAGATCTTATAAAAGCATCAATTTTGAGAGGGTTGATCAGGAATACTATCCAAGTAAGACAAATTCTTATCTAGGTAATTTCTCAAGAAATAGGTCAGTAAATACCTTCCTTCAAAATTATCCTGTACCAACCACCACAGAAGATAAAGTTCAAGATTGGTTTAATCGATTGATAAATGAGTTACCAAAATGGCGAAAGAATTTTATCGTTAAGATACACATACTTAAGCCAGATATTAGTGTCTTTGTTGAGGAAGATATCATTGGCAACGTCCATATTCCAATGTTTGTACAAATACTTCTAGAAGTTAAAAAAAGAAAGAATTTGTCAGATTTTACCGATGAAGACAAAGGACAACTAATAGATTACATTAATATTGTTAAACTTAAACTGTTCATTATTAAGTTAACAAATTATTTGCTAGCATGAAGTTTAAGTGCGTCTAAACTATAAAAGAAATAAACACAAATAATTAAATTGAAGGATCAGATTCATTTTTATTAATATAAATTTAAAGAAGAATGAATTATTTAATGAGCAAAGATAAGTTTTAGGGATAAAGTATTGATTTATTAGAGAATTATGGCGATTCTGCCATTTAGCAGGTCAAAGATACAGAGTATTTATACAAAATAAAATAATAGTAAATAAAATATGATAAATATAATAAATATAATAAAAATAACTAATCTATCTAAACTTACAAATATAACACATATAACGAATATAATAAATCTGGTAGATCAGTTAAATATTACCAATTTGTCATATTTGTCAAATTTGTCCAATTTGTTATATCGGTTAGATCGATCAACCAATCCAAATCACATGATTGGTTATAGTAGATCGGCACAGTATAGATCATGCCTTTAACGTTCTCGTCGAGCATCAGCCCTTGCAATAACTATTTGCAGTATTTCTATCAGATGATTTTCAATTTTATGTAATGGCTTTTGATAGGAATACTAAAAAGTGTAGCGAGTTTACAACTAATTTAAAGGTAGGTTTACGTCTTTTTTGGGTGTTGCTGAATGTAAGCTCACCTTTTACAAAGATATCTGGACCCAATAGTATCGATTTCTATACGTCGGATAAAGAGCTCATAAAAATTCATCTAAAGGAGTTTTTAGGTGTTGACTTCTCATCAACAGTATACAAGATAGACTGGGAAGATAATATATCAGCCATAAAATTATTTAAAAGTGGTCATGTTCCGTCTCATGAAGCTACCATTCTGCAACTTTTGAATGGAAAAAATATCAAATACATTTCAAAATATGTTTCAATTCTAGACATTTCATGCCTTACAACTTCTTCGACTTTTGAGATGTGTTCATAATATGAAAATTTTCCACCAGGATGTATGCTCATCAAACATCCTATTAGATACTAGTGATAATACTCTTGTACTTGCTGACTGGAGATCAGCAATCCATCTAACAAACTGGTTTCTTATGAAGGAATTATTACATTTGCATCACCAGAAATTTTAAATAATGATATGAGAACTTACCAACCTAAGACATCTGATGACTTACATTTCTTTATACGTACAATATACATTCTGCATAATCAAATAAAATTGCCAATTATTTCTGATAGAACCTTTGCATTAAAGGCACAGATTATCTGAGAATTCTGGAACGATAACATGGATGTTAAAATAGAAGGTTTATTATAGAAAGAGATGATTAATACAGTGATAAATAAAGATTATGAAGTTCTGAAAAGATGTTGTTATATCTTTAAGTCATAATGCTAATGTTTTTGGACATATGGATTTATATTTTATAAATATTTAGTTCATGGCTAGACCGAAGAATAGGAATATTTTATTAATATCATTTATTAGTTAATTAGTCAATTATTCTACAAATTTTTTAAAAATACAGATCTTTAATATTGCTTTCGTTAAATCACAACAATTCTTGTTCTACAAGTAAGAATCAGAAAACAAAAGCAAGACATAAGGCAAATCCTTTTATGATCGTTGGTTTCAACTATACCAGTAGAAGCAATTCTTGAAGTATGGAATGTACAAGCAACTAGCACATACGGAATCAGACATTATGTTATTCTACTCAATAAAGACATGCATTTATGCACTTGCCTCCTTTTAATTAATAAGGGATTTGTATATTAGCACTTTTTCATGTCGGTATCTACTCTAGACTTACCACCTTTCACATATACATGATCTCAAATCGATGTTATATAAATCCTGATGTTGAACTGAACGATCTCCTACAACAATATTCTTTTATCCACTTATTTCTTTATTATCGGTTTCTATCTATAATCATAGAAAATGTAGAATCTATAAAAAATAATGAAATTAGTAAATATAAATTTTGCGATTTGCTCTCAAATAAATTTTGAAATGATTTCTACCTCCATCAAATAACGCGAATCTGTGATCAGATTAATATCATAACATAAAAATTGATTTATTTGGCCTCTTTGTTTCCCGAGCATTGTTAGAGTTAAAAATTCTTTGATAATAGTGTCCACTTGACTAAAGAATCTTGTATTTAATATCAGCATACCAATCATAGGTAAAGCATTTCGTTCAACTTCAAATTGCTCAAGATATTCATCATTCTTAACGTTGTTAGTAATAATACTCCAAACAATTACTGTAACAATTTTTATTTGTGATCTACAAACTACTGATGATCTA